AGTGTAATAAATAATTTCAATTTCAAAAACAATGAAAAGGGCAATAACCCATAATTGAAGCAACAAGTTTATTGTTTTTGAACTATTTTTGTTGTTCATATTTAATGCCAGATGGCCACGAAAGTTGGACGGAGTGCCGACATTCTTGACGCGCAAAGCCAAATCTTTTAAAACATATTTAAGAAAGATTGATCAAGAAGTCTGCTGGATATATTATGTTTGATGTACATTGTGTTCCTATATCACATACATTAAATTTCCGCGAAATGACTTATCCGTTTGTTTTAGTTCAAAGGGCAACTATCTAATAAAAATAAACCTTTCAACTAAAGAGGGTTACTGCACTATTTACTGTTCATGAAAATCTGAAAAAGTATAAGACGTCTTTTAAAACACCAAGCCCTCGGGCTTCTCCGGATATCAATGCACAGAAAAAGGTGTACTGGCGCTATTTGTGTACAAGTTTTCAGTGATACCGTATTTTGGTACATGAATCTGTCTCTCATCGCCATACTTTCCACGTGCTGATGAAATATCATTTCACAAGCTTTGATAAGAAACTACCTGGACAGTCATTGCAGTAAACTATTTATACATGGCGCCCTACGTCAGACATATAAGGGCACGTGTAAACACGCCATATGTTCACGTGATTTTATTCTAAAATTCATGTTTTCTTTTATGTTAAATATACCTGTGCTCGCATTTTTATACAAGATTAGTGCTACAAATAATGATATATTCAGAGTTGCAATATATACGAAACTATTATAATCATAATACAATTCTCTGTTGCCAATTACAATTCTCAGCTTCCTGATCTTAAACAGTTAAGACTTTGTAGATGTATCAACTCTTTATCTTACTCCACAAAAAGTCCTTTAACTGCTAAAAAGACCTCACATCAATTAAATATTTCAAAGGAGCAATATCACATCTATGACCAAGTTATGTAATAAGGAGCAATTGATTTGTTAATTATTTTCCGTTGCAATGGCCTGAAAAACTGAACCATTATTTAATCATACTTATAATTATTACATGACCTTTATCGGCTAGACTTCAGGAAATATTTAAGCATTTAAGTATTTTCCAAGTTATACAATCGATATCGCAAAATAATACCTTAGGTTAAAATAACTGCGTAACTATGCACTTGAATAGTGATCACAATATGCGATCGCTTACTATATGATATCTGTAAGTTCAACATGAACAAATGAATACAAAATGTTTTAGTGTAGAGGAGGCAAAGCAAATATAAATAGAGAGAGAGAGCGATAGTGAAAAACAAACAAACAACAACAACAACGAATACGTTTGTTTTTGAAAATGATTATAATGTTAACAGGAAATTGCTTGCTTAACTTTTTTCTCTTTACAAACGGTAAGCATTTCTTTTTATCGAACGTTAAAAATGAATACAAACTGGATTCACGAACTAATTCTACATTATTTTTTATAACAATAAAAGGTAATTTACAAGAAACCAAAAAAGACACGTTGTCGTGCGAAGAAGTGATTACTGGATTATATTGACTGAATAACTGTTTCCTGCAATTTGTGACCTGAGAACCTTCTTTCCTGTGAACTGATTAAAAGAATTCCAACGCGTAGTATTTTTTATAATTAAAATTTTAAACGACAACTATTGAATCAAGCAGGCTGACATAAGTATCAAATCATGGTGATTCTATATAACTGAATTAAGAGAGAAACATTTTCTTTCATGACCGTATATTCAGATCTTTTTTTGTAAGCATTTTACTTGATTTCATTGAAACATTCAGTAAATCTATGTTGAATTTATTTTGTAAACACTAGATAAAAAAATAATATGCGTCTTTTTATCAAACAAAATGCTTGTAAACACTGAAATATTTAGCAGGACAAATTATATAAATTATAATATTAAATGCTTACATTTTATATAATTATAGTTTATACTATTGTATATCCTTACAAAATACAATATTCATTTAAGGTGAAGCGGGTCACATTATGTAACTTTACATGCAAGGTAAATAAATAACAGTTTATTTCAGAATATCCTTATAAATTTCTGTAAAATGCTATTTATCATTTTTAGTGACAATGAACACATATTTGTCACAGAAATCTTGCTAGTAATGGATGGAAATGTAATTATCAGATGGAATGCTTTTAAATTTGAAATTATATAAGGAAAGATTCTTCCCAGGGGCTTATTCTGTCACTTCAAAAGATATGTAACCTTTATATTATCATATTTATTTTTGTTTTGGTGTCATTTTTTGCGTTTTATGATGTCATTGTGCAATAGCAGAAGCACTTTTCAACAAGGATTTTTAACAGATTAGCCAGGTAGCTAATGCAATGGTAGGATACTACGTCATCGCGCACCTGCTGAATGCTCCCACTTGGACCATTTTTTTCGTCGACTCGAAGGCAAAATACAATTTTATTATAAGGAAACGTAAGAGTATAAAAAAATCCGAGTGGGAGCATTCAGAGAAAAACACTTATCCCGTTTTAAGGCCTAAACCAGGCAATGAATCTATAAACTTTTTCTACAATTATCTCAAGTACTATAGCAATTCTTTGGTGCGCTACATGATTTTTTAATACTCTTACGTTTTCTTATAATAAAATTGTATTTTACCTTCGAGTCGACGAAAAAATGGTCCAAGTGGGAGCATTCAGCAGGTGCGCGATGACGTAGTATCCTACCATTGTAATGATAAGGTTTAAATGTGCACAATGTGACTACTGTGACTCAAATTAAAAAGAGAAATGTATTTGACTCTAGCAAGAGCTTCCTTAAGAAATCCGTGCTATTCCATTTTATGGATGTAAGAAATATGTTATTTTTTTGTTTGTGTGTGTTTGTTTGTTTACAGTTGTTGTTTTCTTTTTATCTTAAATGACTTAACTTACACCATAATCTATGTTTATAGCTATTTATTAGTTAGTGTTTTAATATTTAATAATATTATCATTAAAGCGTATAGATTAAACAACATATTTAGATTTATTTTGAGACATTGTTTTTCTGATGTGCAAAATGTAACATGTTTAAAGTGCATTTAGTGTTAAAATCAATGTTAATATGTATATAGACGTGCATTGTTCCCCTGGAAAATAATTGTTTCATTGTCAGTGTAATAATCTTTCCAATTAGTATCTCATGATACGTGCACAAGTAATTGGCAGAAACCAATGCTAAACATCAGGAAACTGTAAACTAACACGCATATTGTCATAATGATTCTAGTGCACGACCTTCCTTTATCTTGTTTCAAAACCAGTAAAATATGTGTTGCAGATACTGCATATACGATTAATAAGTATCGCCAGCGAAAACTAATATATAGGACTCTCACCCAGGTAGAAGATACTGTAACAATATGTCTCGAAATGTGAATTGGAATAAAGGTACTTTGCTCCTCTGATCGATAATCTTTTATCAAATTAATTTGTAATAAAAATTAAACCGGACAGAACGATTTTTGTGCGTATAATGCATAGGAACCCGAAACAAAAATACCTTAACAGGAACGCATGAATACATAATGCCAGCAGTGAGAGTGGAAGTCTCTCAAAATAGGTACTTGTGATTGTCTTTTATGCCGTTCAACGAAAAGTTCAGTAATGACCAAATAAATCTGGAAGCTCTAAATAAGCTCTTAGTAATTTCAGAGAAATATAATAGGAAAAAAAGTAAAATGTTAAAGACTCACATCTTTATAGTTATATATTATTATCGTTATATATAAACATATATTAACACCATGTCAAGGATGTTTTCTGACCAACGCAATTCATATGTACGTACATGGTTATTTCATGTTCAATCTTGTAAATAACTGTAAAAAAAACACACAACATGTTGAAAATGTAATATATGTAAAATATTGAAATAAATATTTTTAAACTTACATGTTGAAAATGAAGAGGTATTTGATTTCATTTTACATTTTGAGCAATCCATTCTAAAACTGCACTTAGCATTTGTCCAATGTACTACGATTTCAAATGTGTTTATATCCTGTATCAAAATGTAGAATTGCATGATAGATCTTTGTCTTTATTGTTGTTGTGTTATTATTGTGAAGTAATAGAGAAAATAAGAATCCTCAAAAAAAGCCCAACACGGCATAATTGAAAATGTTGCAGACTCAGTTTGATTGAGCCTGTTCATGGACGGTACTGTCAAGTGCAAAAACTTGAAGGTGTTTTGCACCACACTTGAATTGCAGAAAAAAACAGTTTATACAGTCATGAATAATTCAGGTTGTCACTGTTTCAATATTTATACAAAATGGCGTATGTGTTGGATGATGTGTAAACGTTAAGAAAAACTCAACATACCTTGATTGTTTTTCTTAAACAAAAAGGACATAGGGTTTGGGTGAAATGTTGTATTTGCAAGGACTTACCTAATTACTTTTTGTAATAAAGCTTATTTTCTATGAAACGCACAGACTTCTGCGCAATTGTTACGCTATTAACCTGTAAGTAGAAATACTGGACAATTTTCTATCTGCGAGCAAAGAGTTCGAACATACTAAAATATGTATCAATGTCTCATGTAGGTGCGTCATACTACCAAACAGATCGAAAACAAAAACATCCTTATAAATTTATATAACTCGGAGCTCATTACTTTTCGCGGACAAACATTATTTATGATTAACTGAAGCTAAAAGCATTGTAAACAGAGGATAACAGAAGATGTGCTTCCCTTTGGCAGAATTATTATTCACAAAGTACATTTTGCACTTCATTATAATTCCCCATAGAAGACATGAGTTGAAACATTGTCCGCATTCGGTTATACAAAGTGTCTGATATCAAACAACGAGCCAAGGTTACATTAATAGTGAGTGATTTACAATTTACCTGATATTTTACTGTTTTCTTATTTCATTCTTGTAAATTCAAGTCTTTAAGACTTGTAAAATCAAATCTCATGATTGTAAAATCATTTATATCTTATAATTACACGGTAAAATTTAAATAATATAATTTTCAATGGTAGGATACTACGTCATCGCGCACCTGCTGAATGCTCCCACTTGGACCATTTTTTCGTCGATTCGAAGGTAAAATACAATTTTATTATAAGAAAACGTAAAAGTATTAAAAAATCATGTAGCGCACCAAAGAATGGCTATAGTACTTGAGATAATTGTAAAAAAAGTTTATAGATTCATTGCCTGGTTTAAGCCTGAAAACGGGATAAGTGTTTTTCTCTGAATGCTCCCACTCGGACTTTTTCCCGAAACATATAAGAAATAAGGTTGAAAACCTTCTTGAAAATTATTTTAACGTACCGGAATATAAACCGAGTCATGTTTACACATTTTTCCAGATTAGTTTCAAATATGTCTATTCAAAAGTCAGTTTTTGAAAGTTTTTTTTTTATAAAAATGGAAAATGCTCCCACTTGGACTCGATTTCAGAGATGCTCCCACTTGGACCCAAATATATACATTTTGAAAGCACATTGATGTGCCAAGCTTTTATGGATTATTCTTACAATTTTTAAAACATTTTGTCAATAACTAGTTTTGCGACATTAACTTTTACTTCTTTTTACAGAGATCACTTCTTACGTCGTTGGGCGGGACCCGGTGCCATGGCAAAGTTTCAACTGACAGGATCACTTTACAAAAAGGTGCACTTGGCTTATGTTGGATCCGAAGGGATGATTCAAAATTATTGCCAACAACAAAGATAGGACTATAAGACTTTAAATGAACAGTTTGGATCTCAAGAATAAAGTTTTTTTTTGAGATGTTTAAACAATGGTGGTGCTTTATAAAGAAGTCATTATACATTGTTTAGTACCATACTGGATTAAGATTCTGTTGGACTCGTACACATATTAGAGGCCTGCATTTATTCAATAATTGCTGACTTTAATATCTTGTTAATAATTTAAAACCCAATGATTTGCGTGTTTGTTAAACTTGTGATTTAGATTTTATAACAACATAATAGTACGTTTATGAACATAAAGAAGTCAATATATATCGGCTGATTTGAATAGTTTATTAAAGAACAACATGTGAATCATTTTTGTCATGAACTGGTTAAAAAGTCAATGTACTGCCATACCATGGCATATAAAGCATGCATCACAATTATTGACAACTTTGACATTTTTAAGTATGAAAGTTATCATATGTACGTATTTTTACCTAAAATAACAAAATTAAATAAATAAGAAAACAAAGATCACAGTTATTTCTTTATCACAGTCTTTACCATATCTTGGTAATTACAATTGAAATTTTATATATATGTATATAATTATGCTTCTAAAACAATTTTCAAACATTAAGGAATATGTGAAATACTTACTGCAAATGCTTGTCCACATTATATGTAATCATTAAAATATACATGTATGCATTCATTTCTTATTTAAGAATTCAACTTACACTTAAAAGAAAATATATTTCTTAAATTACCTCCCTTTATGAAATATTAATTCGGTATTATCTTTACAAATAATGCTTTTTGGAACATACAATATTGATAAATCTTCATTTGAGCATTATATTTATTATATAAAACCAAAGTTGATTTCAGGATATTTAAATGACGTTAAAATAAGAACAATCATACAAGGAGGAATCACAGACAGTAAAATCCCCCGCCGAAAAGGAGGAAATACATTTCATAGGGGAAGTAACCCTTACATACATGTAAAAATCCAAGTAATGACACTCGTGAAAATTAATGAAAAGTTATAGCGTAGAAATAATAAATCATAACAAAAATAACACTCCCATGAAAAAACAACAAAGAAAAAACAACAAAGAAGCATTAAGTGAACACTTATGGGCATTACGCTCTGCTAGTTCACTTCTATCTGCACTGTCCCAGTGTTGTTTTCTTAAATTAAAAACAGCATACGGAAGTTTTGTTCAATATAAAGTTTCAAGTTTATATCTCAAATACCTTTAGAGGTATGGTCCTTGCAAACTAATCATAGTGAATACAAAGAGCAATAACTCCAAAAACTGGAGAGTTGTCATTCTTGTTTGTGGTATATCTATCCTCCAGTGAAGTTTCAGATAAATTGATCCTTTATGACACATTGCCCAATGATTAACGCAAAAACTGAACAAAAGACAATTACTTCAAAGAGCTACAAATCTTGTGTTTTCTAGAGTATTCCTCCTCACTGAGATATATCCACAGTTGGTATCTAAAATATTTGCTCCAGCTATGCCGTGTCAAGGTGTCCTGCCATGTGCTTCCTTACGTCGCAATGTGGTTTATACCTTTTCTCATACTGGTCACAATCACAAATACTTTCTGCAAAACAAAACGTTATTATATTTTTAAAATGTATAATCAATTGTTTCTTATTTCAGCGACTCTATTTAACGAGGAATTATTTAAACACAACCTTTTTTTCCTTATTCTTAGGCAGCTAGAAGACATATTTACGAGACTGTTATGATACAATATGTCACAATTTACTGATCTAAATATTAGTATCGTATTTTAAAAATGCTGTTTCATTGAATTCTAACTGATAATATGAATATATGAACTTGAATATGAAGATATTTTGAAAAAATAATAAATTCTTAACACAGCAATGTGCTTTCAAAATATGTCTATATTTAGGTCCGAGTGGGAGCATCTCTGAAGATGAGTCCGAGTGGGAGCATTTTCAATTTTTATAAAAAGAATTAAGAAAAACTGATTTCTGAATGGAAATATCTGAAACTAATCTAGAAAAATGGATAAACATGACTCGGTTTATGTTCCGGTACGTTAAAAATAATTTTCAAGAAGGTTTTCAACCTTATTTCATATATGTTTCGGGAAAAGTCCGAGTGGGAGCATTCAGAGAAAAACACTTATCCCGTTTTCAGGCTTAAACCAGGCAATAAATCTATAAACTTTTTTATCAATTATCTCAAGTACTATAGCCATTCTTTGGTGCGCTACATGATTTTTTAATACTCTTACGTTTTCTTATAATAAAATTGTATTTTACCTTCGAATCGACGAAAAAATGGTCCAAGTGGGAGCATTCAGCAGGTGCGCGATGACGTAGTATCCTACCATTGATTTTCACAGCAGCCGGACTACATCTGAATTAACTTAAATAAGTGGAAAATGGTCAGAAAGCTGTCTTGAGCAAAATGGGGTTTATTACGAGAAGCACATGAATATCTGCACATGTCATGTGAAAAATGTAAGGTTATTTGTTTACAAAGTGGCATGTTTATATTTTGGATTCAACAAGCTTGTTTTCTCTACCTAATGCATGTGCTTTTGAATAGCATTTTGGTTTGATCGAGTTAAGTAATATTTCAATTCTGTAGATACATGTGTCATAAATACTTAAATATAGATGTTTTCAAAATCGCAAAATGAGGTAAATTATATATATATATATATATATATATATATATATATATATATATATATATATATATATATATATATATATATATATATATATATATATATATATATATTTTATTTTTTTAAAAATATGATCAACGGCATAGTCTGCTAAATCTTATCAAAACCAAATACATTTACTAAAATCATGGATTCAGTGCTTCAACAATGTGTTCCCCAGCTATTTACATTTGCTACGATTATAATAAAGATACAAGATAGATCACATGTGAAGTATTTTTGAATGGTATGAAACGATCAATGACTATATTGCAAAATAAATATCTACAAAATGTTTTGCAATATGTTAGAAAAAAGCTGTAAATCACAAAACATGAAAAACGGCTGAAGCTCAGTTTATTTGTAGAATACTTTTAAGACTTTCATGAATACCAAATGAAGCGTTGGTGTATGATATACCTTGTCAATATCATATCTGTCTGTCACAACTAGACTGTTTTTTACCATGCTTTTAGTTATTCATAATAAAAATATTAGCTTTTAGGAGCTTTAATCAATGTTTCGTTATTCAATTAATTATTAGTTATTAGATTATTTAATCATTTATCAGTTTAGTGATTAACCTGTCCGTGCTCTGTCTTGTGCCCTGTCCTGTTTTTGTTTAGGGTCCGCCTGGGCTCCTTGTCACTGATTTTTGTTGCTGGGTCGTATGGGGGTTGCGTTCATTTGGCTCCGCCTTTCCTTGTTCATATTGTTTATCATATTTTCACTGAAATGAAATGAGGCCTTAGCAATATGTGCTAATCATACAGAACAATATATGTATAAAACAGGATTTCTACTACAGACGATTTCAAAGGAGAACAATGTTTGCGTTGCATAATTAGTTCAAATATATAGCGTACTAATTCGTACAGTTATCAACATAAGAATAAACCTATAAAAATGTGTTAATGTTAATGTTTTTTGGTTTTGTTTATTCATTTATTTTGGCTATTCGTATTCAAATTATAATCTGCAAAAAGCGTAACATGTAATTACACGTAATCGATATTTCACATAATATTTTCAAAAGCTTTAAAAACGAAAACAGAAAAAGTTCCGTCGCCATGGTTAAAATTTGATCATTATGTTTATCTATTGATCGTTCCGCTTCACTTAGTAACTTAATAAAACAAACCATTCTTTGTGAAGTTTAATGCCACAAAAGATTTATATCAGTATCGATTTCAAGACTTGACGGTATTTCCCGGTGCATTTGAAGCTAATCATTATAATGTCAATATAACTAATCTTTCAAAGTCATTTACCAGGATGTACTTTTTCATAATAATGACGAACATTTTCAAAATAATGACGAAAAACTTCATTTTCTGTCTATCAACAATATATCGCTTTAGACGCCGTCATTACGAACTATATTTAAGTACACCATTTATTGAATACACTGATAATATTACCATTATTATGATACCATTAGCTTATCCAAATTGTTATGTACAAAATATCTGATATATTATTGATTAACTTTTTAGCTACCTAGCCAGTTTATAGAGATCTAACGGTTTTTTAACACCACTTGATTGTTAAATGCAACAAATCAACATTGTCAAGTTCAGCTGCACTGACTATATATTTCAAGAGATTGATGATTTAAATGGTGATTAAACAAAAAAATGATATTGGAAAATGTGGGGATATAAAAGGACTGTCCCACTTGTTTTTCCATTTACACATGACATTCATCGCTGCATTTCTATAAAATATAAAGCGAGAATTTCTAGTTTAGATGGTAAAAATATTTGATCATTCTGTTAACCTATTGATCGTTCCGCTTCACTTAGTAACTAAATAAAACAAACAAAATATTAAAGATCATTCTTTGTGAAGTCTAATGCGACAGAAGATTTATTTCAGAATCGATTTCCTGACTTGAAGGTATTTCCCGGCGCATTTGAAGCTAAGCATTATCATGTCAATATAACAGTTACTAATCTTTCAAAGTCTTTTACCAGAATGTACATTTTCATAATAATAATGTCGAACATTTACAAAATAATGACGAAGCACTTCATTTGCTGTCTATCAACAATATATAGTTTTAAGTACCGTCATCACGAACTATATTTAAGTACAACATTTATTGAAAACACTGTTAATATATTGATGGCATTAGCTAATGCAAAAATGCCTGAACTATTATGTGATAAACTCTTTAGCTTTCTAGCCAGTTCATGGAGATTTAACTTTTTTGTAACACCATTTAATTGTTGAATGCAAGAAATTAACATTACAGTGACATTTTGCTTATAAATTCATTGTCAAGTTGAACTGCATTTACAATACATTTCAAAAAGAAATTGACGGTTATAATGGTGATAAAACAAAAAAAATATATTGGTAAATGTGGGGAAATGATTTAAATCTGTCTAACATATAAGAGAACTGTCTCACGTGTTTTTCATAAATTGATTAGATTTGCACATGGCATTCATCACCGTATTTATATCAAATATATAGCGAAAATTTATAATTTAGATGCTAAAAATAACAATAATTATGCTAAACAGTTGATGGTTAAACGATGGCATATCTGTTATGTTATTTGACTTTGAAAAAAAAATCGTCAAATATTTCCTAAACATTTGTTTATTTATTTGAAATTAAGAAGTTCTAAACATTTGAATTGGCATTGATTTGAAAATAAATCTGAAAATGTTAACCAAGTTGGTTTTAACCAGGTAAGGCAAACTAAAGATATTAAATGTTAAATATAGGTTGCACGCATCCTTACTGTTTGATATCATACATACGTCTTTTTTTCTAGAATTATATTTTGTATAAAATTCAAAATGAATTCTAAACATCTCTGAAATCTACACTAATTATAGATTAAAGTTTAAATCGATGTCAGATGATGCAGGATATATATCTATGTTACAAAAATAAAATAAATTTGCAATATGCCTGCAAAAATTCATTAGTGAAGAAACATTTCCGCCTCCGTTAACAATTGCGTTTTCGAATGCCTGTATTACGGAATTATTTCAGTAACTATTCAACATTCAACGTTATAATGTGCTTCTTCCATGCAATATAGATTACTCAAATCGCCGACTAGAATGTGCACTTAAATTTTCATTAGGCAATATACAATAATAGGAATATTTTCGACCATCTTGCAATTGAATTTTGAGATGAATATATTGATGCAAAGTTATAAAACACAAAATTGTTTATAAGTTCTAGAGTGATACGAATCATATGATTGAATTTCCGTAGTATTGTGTACCCCAATTCAAAACGCACGAAAATCAGCAGTAAAATGCAAGACTATTTATTGTTTTTATATATATTAAAACGATGGCACAAAATACTTTTTGATATTTGGTTATTTTATTGAAGTAAGTTATATCTGAATAACAAATCTAAATATATGCAAGTACAGTGAACGCATGCTTTACCTTAAACTATCAAAGTTCATGGTGCCAAATTTCACGAGGAAAAGTCATTTTTTCACATTAACGTAGATTTAATTGATAAATATTCTTGTTTGCATACGAACATATTCTTTGAATCTCTTTAAACATTATTAACAAAATGTTAGACATAAATATCTGTTAAATATAGAAATTGATGCATCATATCGATTGACATATGTCGTACAGTAATACTGAACATGACAAATAGTATTGCAAAGTGTAATAAGTAACTTCAATTTCAGAAACAATGAAAAGGGCAATAACTCATAATTTACGTTAAAGGAATATCGTTTTTGAACTATTTTTGTTGTTAATGGTTAATGGCAGATGACCACAAAAGTTGGAAGGAGTGCCAAACTTCTGGACGAGCAAAGCCAAATCTTTTAAAATAAGGGAAAAACATATTTAAGAAATATTGATCAAGAAGTCTGCTGGAAATAGTATGTTTGATCGTACATTGGGTTCCTATATAACATACATTAAAGGATTTCCGATCCATTTATAAGCAAAATGTTTAAGTGATAAAAGTATGCACACTTGTTTTTAATTATTTAATATTAAAAAGTATTTGACACAATATTAGTGATTGTTAGCTAGACAACATTTGATTGAAAAAATATGAAGTTTATAAAGCATATGTCACTTACACTGTTTTCATATTCACAATTCAAGTTTTCAAGAAGGTTTAAATATAAATTTAGTGTAAGTGTACTCATCATGAGTGATGTCATCAACTATATAAAACGTTATACTTTTACAATCACAATGTATGAAGATGAGTAAATAAATAAATAAATGAATAAATACATTTATTTGTTTTTATTTAATCGGTACTTATGTACATCATTCCCAAAAACAACAACTTATTTTGATGTCAAAAAAGATTTACAGATTCATAAAAGGTATAGTATATTTTACTTAATATATAAGGACTCGATATAAAATTTAAACCTTATTTTGTTTTTAATGATATTATATAATAGCTGCAATATACAAATATTTAAGATATTCAAAGAGTCAAAACAGCTATATCAAATGAAAACTTC